TAGATGTATATATATATGTGTGTGTATATGTGTGCGTATGAGTGTGTGTGTATGTGTATGAGTGTGTATGTGTGTGTGTATATGTAGAATGTTTGTTTGTTGTCTCCTCGTTAGTACTATTTTTATTATCTGTATTGTAATGATGATGAGAAAAAAACGGTTATGACGACGATGACGAGGCTGAGGAATATCATGATGATGACGATGATGATGATGATGATATATTGAAGTAGTTGCGATATGACTACGTAAAATTTTTTAAATTTTAAATCGGCAATGATTATAATTATTGTTGTTTTTATTATTATTATTATTATCTTTTTTTCAAGGAGGTTTATATATATGAAGTTAAATGATGAAGTTTAGATGAAGTTAAATTTATATAAGCTGTAATTAAAGAGACTAGTTAAAAAGTGCATTAATAACACAAATACAAAAACAACAACAACAATAATAATAATAATAACAATAATAAATCGTTACATTTTTTTGATTTAAGATTTCAATAGAATTTATAATATATATTTATTTATAATGATAGCGAAAACAAGGAAATAGCAGCAACAACAACAATAACAGCAACAACTTATATACAATAATATCAACAACAATAATAACAACAACACTAACAATAATAATAATAATAATACAAGGAGAGCAACAAATGAATTGGTGTTGAATTACCAATAAAACAAGATCAGCCATGCTAGGCTGCCAATATTACATTTGAACGAGTATACCACTCCAACCAAAGAACGTCATACCTCGGATTGGAAAGCAACTGCACTGGAGGATCATAGCCGTCTTGTATATTCAATTAAATGTAATGTTGGTGAGTGTGGGCACCATAATTCTGAATATATTGATATGACGACGACCAAGTCATCGAGAAGACTCACGATGCACGTACAAACTTGCGCTATAAAGAATCACATGAAAGAGATACCCGAAACTAAAATCACTAGACAAATCTTGGACAACAATGTTTAAATCTTACATTACAGTAACAACCATTCTAACTTACAACTAGCCGAGTCAATACTCATAGAACAAAGACATCCGATAATAAAAATTCAACAATGGGCAATTGGATTCCTTCCAACTAAGAAATTTGGAAGCAGAGGAATCATCGATAATGAAAACACGTAAAAGTGTTATATTGAACGAAGTTTAAGACTGCAAAACTAATTGAATGAGCGTTAAATATTCGCTTTGAACAAACAAGGAATCAACAAATTAGAGGCACAGTATATATGCATGAGCATCTGGCCACAAACACAACGCACCAATTCGAACACCAAAAATAGTATAAAAATACTGTAAAAGCTTTTTTGTCATGCTTAAAATAATTAAAAATTTTGGTTTTGAACTTAAGAAACTTGAGAATTTTTTACAATCAACCGTTGGAAAAATCGAAAAATTAAACAGGAAGCTAACTCACGCCGAACATGCTGTGATTTTCATAAATTATTGCATTTCTGACAGTCTTAACCAATATGAACGCTGCTAAAAGACCGTAATTGATACAGTAGTTTAAATTTCTAGTTGAATAAAAACTATCCAACGCTAAAAATTTTGTGGATTTCATAATGTATTTATAAATATATATATATATATATATATATATATATATATATTTATTTATTTATTATATATATAAATATGTATAATAAATTTTTTTATTATCTTTAATAATAATAACGATGATGAAGATGATTAAGAAATACTAATTAAATTTATAATGTATGTATTCTAAGTTTAAGATAATTACTGTTTAATTTCAAAATTAATTATTATGAACAACGAAAACAATTGTTGCTAATCAGTTTTTAATTAATTAATTAATTGTTGCTCTTATTGTATTATTATTATTATGATTATTGATGTTGTTATTATTATCATTATAAGTATTTTTATTATTATTATTATGCTGAATAAACTCATCATTGAATTGAATTATTATTATTGTTATTGTTGTTGCGTTACTATCGTTGATAATATCGCTATCACAATTTTTCATGTTATTATTATTATTACGATTATTTATTATTATTATTATTGTTATTATTATTATTATTATTATTATTAATGTAGTTCGCCGAGGCAATTATTAATTTCTTGATAAGAGCAAGAACAAGTGTTAATAGAAATATGATGCGGTGATGATGATGATGACGTTGAAGTAGATGGTGATGATGATGATGATAATGTAGAGGATGATGAGGATGAGAATGGTGATAATGATGATGATGATGATAACAATAACGATGATGATGGTGAAAGTGATGACGATGATGATAAAGAAAATGGCGATGATTGCGAGAACATTGGTTTGTTGCTGACGGTGGTGGTGATGATGATGGTGATGATGATGATGATTGTGGTGGTGGTGATAGAGAGGACGATGACAGCAACAATGATGCAGATTTTTATGCTAATGAAATTGAAAGAAATATAAAGATGATGATGATTATGACGACGACGATGAAGACGTTGATAATGATGATTTTGATGATGGTGATGATGATGATGGGGGTGGTGATGATGGGGATGGTGATGATGGGGATGGTGATGATGGTGAATTACTTACTTAATCCCACTTACAAAATTTGATGAATGATGATGGGGGTGCTGATGATGGGGATGGTGATGATGGTGATGATGAATGATGATGGGGGTGGTGGTGATGATGAATGATGATGGGGGTGGTGATGATGGGGATGGTGATGATGGTGATGATGAATGATGATGGGGGTGCTGATGATGGGGATGGTGATGATGGTGATGATGAATGATGATGGGGGTGGTGATGATGGGGATGGTGATGATGGGGATGGTGATGATGGTGATGATGAATGATGAGATGATGATGGTGATGACGACAACGGTGAAAGTAGTGCATATAAACATAGCGGCGATTATTCATTAAAAAACTTTTTATGACATTAATAAACATTGAGAAGATGAGCAGTTATGCTGCACAGCTGTTATTGTTAACTACTGATATAAATCCGTTATAGAAAGCACTCACGCACACTCGTTCACACACACACACACACACTCACATACAAACACATTCACACACACACACACACACTCACGTACAAACACATTCACACACACACACTCACGTACAAATACATTCACACACACTCACACACACACTCAAACACACATTAAGACCATTTAAGGACGCGTTTGAGTTCAAAGATCTAACACATAACATGCTTGTTAAAATAGTTAAAATAGTTAATATATAGATAATAATTAATTCTAATTGATTGGGTCGTTTCTTTTTTATATATGATATGACAACACTCACACGCACACAACAAACAAGCCAACACACACACAGACATACACACACACATACACATATATATATATACATATATACGAAAAAAAAAGAAAAATATATTTATAACTTAACATTAGTGGGCTCAAACCAAAAGTCCACATACTCACATCCAATAAATAAATAAAAATGCACACAAATAACAAAATAAAGGTTAATGTAGTAGTTGGTAACAATGCATCGGTTTTATTTATTTAGAAAAACATAAATAAATTCATATGTATAGATACAAAACTAGATTCAAAATTATATACATATACACACACACACACACACACACATATATATATATATATATATATATATATACATGTGTGTGTGTACGTGTGTGCTTAATAAATATATATATATATGTATATATATATATATACACACATATATTATAATTGTATATAAAAGAATATAGTATGTACGAAGAGCTAGCATTGTTGAGAACACACACCCAGAGAATATGTGTGGGCAAATTAAAGAAGTTAATTTATAAATTAGTTAGTTAGTTGGCAGCCTTGCATTGAGAACATTTAAGTTATTACTAAATTCTTAATTTGTTGGAGTTTTGTTAGTGTTGCATTTGTGTGTGTATGTGTGCTCTGTATGTATGTATGCAGTATGTATGTATGTATATTTATTTTTATGTATATAAAGTGAACGTACATACATATATGCTTAAATACATACATTCACTTTTTTTAGTAGATATGTTTGCTGTTTGTTTCTAATAATAATTGCATAGTCTATTAAATCGATGAATATATAGTCTATATAATTGTGCGTAACAATTCACAGCATGTTTCACC